GGCATGAAAAAAAATACTGTGACTTAAAAAAAAATTTCCGTCAACCCTCTATTGGAAGCATCATTTTAATAATAGCCTTTATTCCCCACTCACCATGCCAGCATTTCTATCTAAGAGAGTCATTTTGTGTAAATTAATGTATTCTTGACGAAAACACATAAAAATTATGTTGTCCTTAGCAAGGTCTAGAAGTAATATATTCTTCAAAACTATTGACATTGCCATTTAAAAAATATAAGAAGTTCTAGCCCATACTAGATCTGTATCCTTAAGATGAAAGAAAAAAAATGGTTCTGGATTTATGTACAGAAAGTAGCAGGAGTACCTTGATTTCTGATAAATTTCACTTGCACTGAAGTAATAAGCCTTAGCTATCAAAATAGAATACTACTGAACACGGGCTTTTATAATTGGAAAATTTAAGGTCAGTTTTCTTTTAAAGTTCTTGTTAGAAGATTTAACCTGGCTGCTATGTTGGCCTTCTAAATAGTTAAAATGGGTGTCTTAATTTAAAATTCCCGTCATTGGTGAGCCTTTAAGTTACTGGCATAACTTTAAGTTTATGCCAGTCATGGAAATAAGTTCTGTACACAAATCATTAAATTATTTTGCAATTGTGTTTGTAATTTGGCAATTTCTATGTGTACATGTTATAATTTGTTATTGTTTTTAATGATAGACGAATCCTTAGTACTGTGGAAAAGAGCAGACAGAAATATAAACCAGCTTCTCTCACAGTGGAGTTCGTCCCTTTCTTTTATCGTAAGTAACACTTCTAGTTTTTTTAGTATGATTTTGACCTTTTTCTTATATTTTTACTCTGATAATTACCCTGATTTTGCTTTGTGAATTAATAAGATAAAAATTATTAGAATCTATTACTAGTATATTTGATACATTTTTGACTGAGATTACTATTTTTGGTTCAATTTCTTTTAAGAAGAGCTGAGTAAAAAACAAAAAACAGTATTCTAATGAAAATAGTTTATTTTTGAACTTGTTTTTTTAACTGAAAATTAAAAAGTTAGTATGACCTATATGGCCCTACTTTCTATTAAAGAAAAAAAAATTCCATATTTTATTAGTGAAGTTAACAGATTACAAATAATAGTAGAAACATTAAGGATACAGTATTTCTGCCTGCAGTGTCTTTTCAGCCATGCTAGCAAGCACACTTCTCTATGATCCTTGGCCTCCAATGTGGTCCATTGAGTTCTGCCTTGCTTTGGCACAGTTTCTTTCATGCTGATAAATGCCCAAAGGGCATCTCCCTCTGTAAACCAGCCTCCCTGTCCAATGACACTCAACTTTGTGATTTCTGTGGGGTGGAAAGCCTGCTGCAGTATCTGCTGCTTTGGCCACTTCTCCATGTTCCTTGCCTGACTCTTCTTTCTTGATGGTTTTAGAGTTCTCTTTTCCTGCTTCTGAGAGGGCTCACTTTATGCCCGATGGAACGGCAAACTGACCAATCCCCCTTTTAGAAGCCTCTGTTCCTTGTTTGTGTGCTTCCACTCACACATATGTTGGAACGTACAAAGACTATGGATAGAAGAGCCTTGATAAGTAATTTCAGTTCACCACAGGAATTCTTATTTGATTTTACTATTTTAGAATCTTTGCGTTTTAGTATATATTTTAGACGATGTTTTACAGTATTTATTAGAGAGACTGCTGAGATCTTGATTGGGATTGTATTGAATCCATTGGACCATTTGAGGAGAATTACTATTTTAAGCATATTGAAACTTCTGATTCATAAACATGGCCTTGGTGGTGGTGGTGGTGCTGTGCAGTCAGTTCTAGCTCCTAACGAATGACAGAAAGAATAATAGAGAAAAACGCCCAGTCGCCCGTCTTCCTAATTGTGGTGCTTCAACCTGTTGTTGCTAGCGTTGTCATCTTTTTGCTGACCTCTATTTAACCAACTACAATTTTTTTCCCAAGAACTACTTTCT